TGAAAAGGGTGAGGAGGCAAGTTAAATTGCTCAGTTGAACTGTATTGCTTACTGAAGGCAAATCAAACCCTAAAATACCCTAATATATTAACAACCTACTTCTGGCCTCCAAGTCAAAGCAGTTTATGGTCTGTGTGGCAGCTCCCCACGCAGCGGCCCACACCAGATGGTGAGAGGCCTTTCGGGAGGGCCGAGCGGCGGAGGCCTCGGCGCGCAGCGCGGGCGGCACGCGGCCCTCCGCGAGCCAACACGGCCAGGGAGGGGACATATGACTCATTTCAGCTTTCGTTTCCCTGCACTAGAAAGGAGAATGACTAATGTTACTCAACAGATTCTTTTTTCCTATGTATGATTTCTCTCTTTTGCCCAGTACTCACATTCAAGAAATTAGACTAGACTCGTCTTGTAGACATGCCGCTTTCCCTGGAACCTGTTCCTTTTACACACTAGCTGAAACACAGTGATCAACACCACAAGCTTGCATTTGCTGACAATTACCACATTTGTCATATGAAACTCATATATTTTTCTAGGTCTCTCCCAATACTAATGTATAATTTGTGCAACAACTTGAAGGGCTCACAGCTGTTCCCTTATAGATAAAAGTAGATACATATATAATAGACCGCTGAATGAGAATAAAATCTGTGGTGAATAAAGAGTGGGTAGCCACTTTTAGAAGACAATAAATAAAATATTATGCACTTTCCTCCTCAAATGTACACAGCCATGAAAGGTACAGTTGTGGTAATGTTTTGTCAAGATCTGTTTTTCTTACTTTTTTCAGCAAAAAATTAAAAAAGAAATGCAAAATGTGAATAAAAACAGAATCCTCAAAAACTTTCCCCAAATAAACTAAAGGAAGCTCTGATGATCTCTTAGAAAATGAAATAATCCATTTCCAGCTAAAACTACCCATAGCGATGAAACTGAAAATATTCTAAGGGAGGGCTGTAGTCTGTCTTGTAATTAACATTAAACAGATAACATATTTATGAGGAAGTCAAAATATTTTGGAAGCCGATAATCCTGTAAGCCTTAACATGGTATAAAAACAACAAATAAATGCAAAGTGTTACTGTTACACATGCCTGCCTGATCAATGGTTTTCACATATTGATCTATAAATGGAGTTGACAGTCTGTGTTGGCTGCACATTTTCCAAGCAGCTCTATTTTTGTACAAAACCAATACGGGCAATTACCTTTGTTTGAGATGCCAAGTCTTATCAATTCAATGTGATTTAGTGTCATTTTAATTAAATATCAGGACCTACTTCAGGACAATCCATACAAACAAAGCCTCAAACTTGACTATAAGCTTGATTTGAAGTAAACATGTACAAGCCATGCAATTTCAAAATATGGCTCAAAAACTCTGCTAAACAGAAGGTTTATATTTTTAGCAATTTTATTTCTATCTTTTTGGCTAGCTGTAACTTTGGCAAGTATTCTGTGATCACAGGAATAAGAAACAAAAGAAGATTGTTTCCTGCTTCTCTGATAAGGTATTAGGGAGATAAATAAACCTACCAGTCTGTTTCATCTAATCAGAAGAAGCTCTAATGCAGTAACATTTTGGAATGTCTAACACTCATTAAAATTTGGAGTTCGGAATTTGGAAAATTTGGGAATTGGAAAATTTGGAATTTGGAATGTCGAACACTCATTAAAAAAAAATACTTTTCATTGTTTCAGGTTGTTGAATGAAGCAACGTGCACTTCCGTGGGGTCTAAGAGATGAAAATAGAGAATTGTCCATGTACGTTGCTTGTTCAGATACTAGCATTAAGCACAGAAAGAACCCTTGCTTACCATAATTTGTCTAGCTTCATTATTTGTGCTCTTTAAATGTACATTAATACCATTTTCAACCTTTGCACAAGGCTCAAGCATTTCTGCCATAAATAAATAACTAAAAACCACAAGAATCTACATTTAGCTTTTACATCAGTTTCTGTATTCCGCATTTGCATCTTTACTACTATAAAATGCACAAGTGCATATGGCCCTACTGATGTCTGATGCACATCCCTCTGTCACACTATAGAAAATAATCTGTCCACCTTCAAAAGTATAGCCCCAGGTGTGCTTGCAAGCATCATAGCAAATGCTTTAGAATACTGCAAATCCCTTAGAGAAAATTATCTATTTTCTTCTCTATAAATCACTAACGATCTCTCTAGATTTATGTCTGTTTTTTTTTCCATTTATATTCTGAGCATTATTTTTTTTCAAATATGTTTTCGAAATATATTTTCCTATTGATTGTTCAAAATGTGCCAAATGCTGATTACCTTAATCCATTGAAGTCAAGAGGTTTTGCATAAGTTGGGTAAAGAGGATTTGACCCATTTATTAACAGAACATACAGTGTAGTAGACATACCTTATATGTGCAGCAAGAGAGTAACACAAATTCCCTTATTCGGCTATCGCTAGTGTTTAAAAGAAAAATCTCTCCAATGACAGGACAAAAATATTCAGTCAACGTGAAACAGAAAATAGGCACAATCAGCGGATATCTTATAGACTCTGTCAAACATCTGAATAGAGACAGACTGTTGAGTTAATAGAAAAGGAGGATAATTGTTTTGTTTTGTTTTTTTAACCTTCTAGCACACAATAATGAGCATTGCTTGGCATACTAGTGCACGTAGCTTTAGCAGCAGGCTGTGTGCCTTGAAAAGCAAAGGCGAGAGCTGCGTATAAAAGTGCACTGAAAGATTATTTCCTGAGTTACAGAACAGGATTGCTAAATGTACATATCAGCCGAACGCTGCTTTTTCCAAAAGCCTTCGACAAACAAAGGCCCCATTCCTTTTCCTTGAATCCTTCACAAATAACACGCGGAGAATCAGATATGCCAACGTGGAATTGATACAGATACTTCAGTGGTCTTTTACACTGGAATCACACTGCATTTCAAGCACATATTTGAAAACCGTTGGATCCTTAAGAATTTTGCTTTTAGTCTGGCTTTAGCAAACAACTTTAAGAGGCTTATTTAAGTAAATATGCCAAAATACTTTCAGTCTGTCAATATCTAGTCAGAAAATTCTGCACAGTAAAAAGAGATGAAAAGAATTGAAATAGAAAGGAAATTAGTAGCATGGCAAGCTTTCAACCTATTATATCAGAGCCAAGTTTGCTTGGTAGAATGACATATACTCAGTAAAATTCCACTTTTATATAATTAGCTACTAAACAAATGCAACACGAAGCAACTTTTCAGCTCTCAACCAGTGAACATATTTTGTACCTGCTATGGTTATTGGAATGCAGCAGTGAATATTTATGCCCAATTTAACTTTTTAGAGCCCTTGCTCTGTAACAGTCCAGCATCCTATCCCCAAAACTAAAGTTATGTAACAAGGTAATATCAACAATGAGAAACTGCATGATAAAATCCTGCCCAAAAGTGAAAAATGCTAATTTTGTCTCATTTAGCAGCTGGATACAGAAATGCTCATTAGTTTTAAGAGGGTTAATCCTTTTAACTTTTGCATATTGATATGCCAATTATGCCTAATTGTACAAGAGGCATCAGTCAAGGTAATAGTGCATAAACACATGAAAGTTATTAAGTACATCCCAACATGTAATAAAGTAGGTGTTAATTGGTAGCTGAGTTCTGCAGGCTATTGAGGTGGATAATTCATTGAGAGATGGATCACTTGTAATTTCTCTACATAATTCCTTTTGCAGTCTCATGCTGTGATGTTTTCATGCTTGTCAAAAACAACTGCAGCCTAGTGCCTTTTGTTAAACACAGCCAATAAAATACGTTAGGCATCATTAAATATACTTAACTTTTAAACTTTTTCAAAGGTACAGTTCTTCCTGATAATACATTATACTATTCCCAGTAAATTACTCTAAGCATCGTTACAGGTTTGTGATGGAGGAACATTTCACTTCAGATAAAAAGGAAGAAACACGAAGAATGTGTTTCAGGCACACAATATTTTTAAAAGGAAAGTAAATGAATGTCTTATCAGCTACAAATATCTAAAGAGATTTTTCTCTGGAGAAATATAATAAGGCACATCCCTGAAATGAATTAAGCTATACCAGAGAAATAAATGATTAAAATGATTTATTTCTGCATAAGTCTGAAGCTAAAATTAAAAGAAAAGGAAACATAACTGCTCTAGTAGGCTTCTTCCATTTAATAACTTTGTTAGAAAGCTCAATATTTCATAGGAATCCATTATATTAACAAAACAAAAAGTAATAGTTCACATGGTTGTAGAAAGTGACTGAGTCTTGGGGATTTGTCCCCAGCTAGCAGAGTTTTTGCCCTCATTTGCATTCTCTGAGAATAAAATGGATCTGGAGTCCAAAAAGTGGCTAACATTGCATAAATAATTTTGTAACATCATATGGCCTCAGCTGCAAGTTGCCACCATTACAGAAGAAAATTAACCAGGAGAGACTCATACCAATCAGTTTGTTTAGTAGCTCTGGAGGAGTACAGGGGCAGGGACACAACTGGCAACAGAGTTCATCACTAACTATTTAATTTTCCCCCAAAATGGTAATGGAAAAAAAATTACTCAACTCTTTCAACTCTGCTTTCTACTAAAATGTGAAGAAAACTTTAGGGTCTGATTTTTGCAAATCATTCACGCTTACAGAAAGACCATTTATATTTTGTTATTGACAACGTTGTCCCTCACTTAGGAAGTTGCAATCTCCATTTACTTTGTCTTGTTTTGGTGTTTGCCTTTTAGAAATTGTGCCACATATGTGACATTGCAAGCACTATTCTCGACAGCAACTGGACAATTATTATAACACCTGAGAGTTTAAATGTGGAAGTGGTACTAGGATCCCCACCACTAAAAGTGATGTCTATATTTCATTGAAGGAAAATTGTCATTCTAATACCTAGTGATACTCCTATTAGTGCCATTAAGTTCCTTCTTGCAAGAGGTTATTCAGAATTGACATTTTAACCACACTTTAATTAATTCTGTGCCTAGGACACTTTACTTACAGGTTCAGCAACCTTCACGTTGTCAGCCAGAATCATAGATTTGCTTTGGCTCAGTCTGTCATGGTGACTGTTAGCACTTTTGATCCTCATTTGAACAGCCCCTGTACTGTGGTAGGAAGGATTTGCCTTTTCAGAGGCCATGTCAGAAGCCGCCGACCTTTCCATGGTTCCTGGGTCGCACCTGAAGAACATAAAATAACAACATCAATCTGGAGGCTCTTCAGACAAGACCATATCAGTGCTGATTATGTTTCAGTGCAGTCAGGAGAAAACGCGGACTTATCTAGCTGGCAAAATCTTGATCCTCGTTGAACGCTGCAATAACTACCAACTGTGTGAGCCCGTAGCTTTGTTATTGTCCTTATCGCTCACCCATCCAAACTGCCTTGGAAGAGTTAGTGTATGCAAAAGATTATTCTTATCTCAAAAGCCATTCTTCTCTATGGTGTAATCTCCTGCAACCCTCTGCCACGTCCAGCTGGCAACCAACACGCTTTGTCTTTGGCCCTGCTCACGCTACATGTTCTAAATCTTGCAAAGGAAGAGACGGGCTTCGAAAGCACTTAACATATCTTGCCTCTACAGTTCTGTATATGCAAGATGTGCACTACAAGCACATTGCAAAGCTGTGCTGGAACCCTGCTCACAGACCAGTCTCAAACCCACATCTAGTAAACTGCCCTTAATTTTAGCAACCTTACTGCCAGCATAGATGAGATTTTTGTTTCTTCATTCTTTTCCTGGAAATTTTCCTGGAAAAAAAGAAATGAGGAAATGGAGAATGCAGGTCTCAAGCTCCAGGAAAGACCAAGGGGAAATAGGACATAACAATCATATTTATAAGGAAAATAGATAGTGTTGTTATTCCCTATGACAATTCTGCGATGCTAAAAGATCTGTCATATCGAATACACCATATTTTTTACAAAATGCAAATCTAACTGCTTGTTGTCACTGAGGACCCCCAGACTCCCCAGCAGCACTGCTGGGTGACCTCCTGTCTTACTGTCAGTGCAACTCAACAGACTCTAGCTATTTTATCCACTGGAAAGAGGTACTGTATATGTGCTGCACAAGTCTTTGGTGCAGTGGTCTGCATTCAACCTTGCTCCGTTTTCCTCCCCCTAATTCACCCTGGCACTGCTATGTGTAAATTGTGGGTGAGGTAACATGGTAGGAGGCCACAGTAAGACTTACTGTTTCTGTGCAACTGCACAAGAAAACATGTAAGAAAGAGATACTCTATAGGCTGGAATTGCCGGAGCCAGGCAAATGGAAATCTGAACGGTTGAAAATTAGCCATTTCCAAAAGTGTTTGGAAAGCACAACCTTTTGCTAGCAGCACCTCCCTAAGCTCTGAAGACTCTGAAAGAAGAAATTCTCTGGTGGTAAAAACTCCAGTCGTAAGAGAGCACCGGAGCAGAGGAAGGTTCAGTGCTGGTTTGTACGTGGAAGGAGGACAGGAGGGCTCCAGCATTTCTCGCGGCAGGACTACAGCCTATTGGGCTAATGGAGCGATAAACAGCTCCCATAGCATCACCCTCTCCTGGCCCCAGAAAATCAATTCCTGCCAGAGCCTCAATGCATAGATCTGGAGGACGGCAGTGAGAGGTCAGGGGATTTCACCTCATATAGAAGCACAGGGAAACACAGCACTATCAAGGAGAGAAATGGGAAGAAGAAAGTACTTTGGCGTTAGGGATCACTCACGCAACATTATGCGCTGTGATAGAAACACCAACTGCAATTGCAAGAAGCAATAAAGCTCGTGCTCCAAGGCTGCCTCGTGCATTGAATTAGGTACTCAAGGATCCTTATAGAAGATGAACTATAGAGAGAGAGGGGAAAAAACGGCTGAAGCAGTTGCTGTCCTCCTCAGGAGCACTCAGTTCTGTTTCTGCCACAGAGCTTGCATGGGAAATGGGAGCAAACTCTCAGACCGATCTTTGTGAAGGCAATGCTGGGCTTTCTTCATTTCCTGCGATGCTCCTTGCCACCCTATGGAGCAATCGCTGCCGAAAGCAACGTGCTGGGGCCTTCGCCGATTTGGCAACGTGCCCTGCAGCGGTGCTAAACAGGGAGCGATCCTGCCCCCTTCCTAAACACAAAGATCCAAACTGCTTCGACTTTCACTGCTATCAAACCAGCATCACTTCTTGGCAGCCTTTCGGAGGCTCCGGGCTGCAGGGTTGATCCAGGGCAAGAGGCAGGAGCGACACTGGCTCTGTCACCAATCAGTGTTGGGTTTGAGCACATCACTTCCTTACATTTTCTTCTAAAATCCCCCTACCTGTAAAACACCAACATATCCTCTTTGGAGTAGAATGAGTTCTAATTCGGTGTTCTCAATCTGTTGTTGTCAGTACATAAAGTGCTGTAAAAAAGTTCAATGCCACAACAAAATCAGGCCTGGGGTCTGGAACAGGAGCACAAGCCCTAGTTTAGAAGTCTTTCAAAGATCTCTGAGTATTTTGATACTAATCTATCCGAGCTTCCATTATTGTCTCTAAATTAAGGCTAATTCTCATGCCTCGTGGGGTTATGGGTTTCTTATATATTTCCAAACTAAAGAAACCACCCGAAAGAACTACATACCAGCGTTCCCTCTGCCAGGCTTTTATCTAGCTTATCATGGCAAGATCTTGCAGAATACAAAGAAAAGGTGCATTTTGTGGGCGTTTTTCCCGGTAGAAACCCTTTTGTGCTTGCCCGGGGCAGCACATTGGCAGGCCCCGGCCCGGGCGCCTCATGCCAGCAGGTGGCAGCCTGCCCACGAGCGGCGCCGCCGCTGTGGCAACCACCCCTTTTCACTTTTTTTTTTTTTTTAAAAAAAAAGCAGAAGGGCAAAGAGAGTCAGGAAACATAACACGTTAGCGTAAAGCAGAAGGAGGAACCATCTTTCGCTTTTACGATTTGGTGTTTCTAAAACTGCCACCGGTGGCATCAGGGTCAGCTTCGGCCTGGCTTTCCGGGGCAATGGGTTTCTCCTTCTCCTCCATGCGGAGCTGCCGGAGGCTCTCCCTGCTCCTTCTGTCGTTAGCTCGTTTGCTGCAAGGCTGCGAGTTAGCGCCTGGACACAACATTTAGTTTTGGAAGTGCCTATGGTAGATTTACCAGAGAAAAAAGCGCTAACCCACAACCTTCCTTCGTGTTGTGTGTAGGGCTCCTGGAGCCAAGGGCCAGCCCAGCTTTATTACATCCCTCTCAGAGGAAAGGAGAGGGGCAAAACACTAACAAAAAGCCATGCTGGAAGGATGGGTGCAACCACTGGGCAAAGGGGTGCCAAGGGTGGCATTAGCTCATGTCTCCCTGCTGTTGACTTCCATTAGCCACCTGGATTTCACTTAGCTGCCCTCAAAGTTGCATCTTTTGCTCAGGTAGCCTGCAGCTTGGCCCAATAAAGGACCCTACCAGCTACCCTAATGTGCTCCCGGTTCAGGATTAGGCCTTTGTTGGCAAGGAGCAAAAACCTTGTGCATCACCCTAGAAGAAAAAGCACTGACACAAAGTCAGACAGAAGCTACCAGAGGGGAGTACCAATTCTGGGAGCAGGCAAAAACATTACACTGAGTGTGAGAAAGAAGCACTTAACTTCTGAAAGGAGATAGATCAACATATCTCTGGTGCAAGAAGCTCAACAGAGCTGAAGGGACAAGATTGCCTTTCTGGTCGGGACAGCAGGCAAATCCAGAAACTCAGAAATCCTCACTGCGGGGAAGGGGTGCATAGTTTTATGAAATGGTTCCTATTGCTTGCCCCCATAGTCATTGCTGGTGTCTCAACACTCATCATCACTGCCTCATGGGTTGTGCTGAGGGTTCCCGGGGAAATGCCCCCGCACGCAGCATCCCGGCACCGAGCGGGGCGGCTGCAGCCGCTGCTGCACATGCACAAGCACATGCACAAGTGACATTTCCTGCAGCTCACAGATCGAGGGATAAGACGCATAAGATACTAAAACCTATTTTCTAAGCGTACAGATGGCTTTCAAACATGTGGCATGGAAGTAATGAGTGGTACAGAGGTGAAAAATGAGAAGGCACATGCAAATTGCATACACTCTAAAACCGTTTCTGAGAATCAGGCCCGGCGTAGGAGAGCAGCGAGCAAACTGCAGAGATCAGGAGCTGGGGGGAAAGATCAAGGCTCTCACAAAGTGCTGGGGCTTAGCAAAAACTATTGAAAATAGCATTTTTTTCTTTAAAAACAGTGTTTTCAAAAAAATCTTAATGTATGATAACAATTAAAATTTTTCAACTATTTATCATTTCCTTCAGAAAGGAAAGAAGCCTCTTCTCTCCTTTCTCTTCAAAAAGAAGAAAGAAATGATACAGGAAACACAGTAACACCACTGTTAATTTTTCTATTAAGAAAACCTTCATTTGATCTTTTATTGAAAAGATGGAAAATACATTTAATTTTTGGCCAAATGAGGAAAGTAAACAGTGCACCCCCCTGTCATTCCTATGCCTTTAGTACTTTAATTATGGTTTCTGTATGACAGTGGCAGCCAGTAAGTTTTCTTCTCCTAGAAGGACTTTCATCTTGCAGGTATCAGCTTTTTTAATGCATTTTGGAATGTTACTTTGTCCAAAAATGCATCATATAATGCCAGACTTCCTGGTATTACTCAGTAGCATTTTTTCGTGAGTTTCATTACGGTATCAATAAAGTTAGTACATGGATTTTCCACAAAATAAAGCAAAACATAAGTTCCTCAAGAGGCAAGAACAGCATTTCTAAATTTTGGCCTGAGCTATGCCTACATTTCCTACGGCTGTATATAATAAAAGACAGAGTGCAAATGTTAATTCATTAGTATCTTGTACCAAGTATTTATAACAAGTACTTTCATCCAAGAAGGGAAAAATTTACTCATGATTAATATAATTGGTTGCATTTGTTTTTCAAAATGCTGAGATTAAAATCAATGTATATAATCTTGTGCTTAACAAAAGAGCTTTTATTTTCTTCCAGCTATCTTTCTTCCTTACAACTTTTGCACCGCTATCAAATCAGAAGTGTAATGAGCATGAAAGTGCTAAACATAATAGAATTAAAGCACTGCAGAAGTTAAGTGCATCTGATTCCACATTCACTAACTCCATCCTTCTGCTGCTCGGACTGTGCTGGAGAGCACAGCACATCACAAAGAACATCCTGGTGCAACCATATTACAGA